GGGCCTTCACATCTCTAGCCATGACACACACCCACAGCATGGCACTCTACACCAAACCTTGGGAAATGTTCATGAGTGCCTGGGAATTACCAGGAACTTCAATGGGCAGTCATTTATACATCAGTGACCCTTCCGGCATGTCCCCTATTAGGAAATGTGGGTTTTGGACACATCTAAAGCTTCATCTGAAGAAACAGGTGCCTTTTAAGGACAACACCAAGGAAGCAACATTTTTGTTACAGTTTTTGGAAAAAGAAAAAAGTTTTAAATTGTTTATTTTTGGTTTCTAAATAAAACATGACTTTAAAAAAAGAAAGGAAATGCACAAAATCTGAAATTATAGCAACAGATGGGCCTCAGCAAATCCTACACTGCAGCAACTGATCCAAAACATCAGCCCGTGCAGAACTAATTTAATCTCACCAAACCAAACAAACAACAAAAAGCACAAAGATCTACACTGCATGTGCCATGCCTTGTGGATGGGTCACATTTTGATATTTCAGAGGTTTGCCCCTCTTGTCTAAGGGAACCCTAATTTATTTTTATGTCATTGTAAGATTATTATTTTTTAGGAGCTGCGGTGGCTCAAGTGCTTAAGACGCTGAACTGCAGGCTGTGGAAGGTCTGTAGTTCAGCAGTGGAAGGTCTGTAGTTCAGCAGTTCGAGATCCGAGTGTGCCGCATGACGGAGTGAGCGGAAGAAGAGGAAGAGCTTCACTTCTTAACTAGGGGGGCTGAAGGTGATTTGGCAAGAGGGGACAGAGCTTGCTTTCCCCCGTTATGTTATTAATTTTTATTCCTAGTAATTTTTGCCTGCAGTGAATCAATTTCCTCCCTTGCCACTGTGAAAACTAAATTTTCCAATATCAGAATGGAAACTTCCTGCCTCCCTTCCAAGTGCAGCCCACCAACCTCCACAAAATGCCGCTCTGGGGGGACAGGGGTTTTTTAATTGCTAGCACAATGGATATTATTTTGTTTAACAGGTTAAGAAAAGCATGGTTACACAAAACAATCCTTATAAAGAGAATATGGGGAGCCCCCCTCCCCTCGTCATTTTGCACATTCGGTTCTCCATAAGGTGACAACTGGTTCTGGACAAAAAGGTAAAAGACTTCAAGAACATTTAATTTCGTAATTTTTTCCTAGAAGTTAACTGGAGAAGCATTTCAAAGTCCATGTGTACTGGCAGGAAGCAGAATCTCGTACACATTCACTCTGGGTCAGTGAGTGATCCAGGAGGGGCTAAAGTGACGTCTGTATAATTAGCAAACATAGGTTAATTTACCTGAAACATTAACAGTTTTTCATTCAATACCCTGATGCCGTGTAAGTGAGCATCATGCAAAGCCTGCTGGTGCCTATGATTCTTATGCTCACTCTACAGCAGTATCTTAACATTGCAGTATATGGACCTGATTTCAGAAAAAGAAAGCATTTTGATTTCTGTAGGAAAAAAGTGTACACATGTATGCAACTTATGTGGAAACTGGGTAATGTATTATGTCTTTAAAGTGCTTAATATTTCAAAAATATGGTTGAAAGCTGACAGTGTATAATGGTTTCTTGTGTTTATTCTTGCATTCACCTATGTAATTAACTATTCAACTTTTATTGCATAGCTCAAAACAAGACTATTTTACAATTTTATATGTACTTAATACACCATTTTGTATATGCATGTTATTATGTTACGAAAACTTAATAAATTATATTGTAAAAAAAAAA